CCGAGGCAGAGCCAGAGCGGTGATGGACCAAGGTGGAGCCAGAGGGTTGAGGGAGCCCGGCAGAGCACAAGGGAAGACAGTCCATGGTGGAGCCAGAGGGCGCGTTGAGAAAAGGTAGAGTCGATGGGTCGGACGGCCGAGGTGGAGACTAGGGCTTGGAGGTCTGAGGTGGAGCTGAGGGATCCACGATGCAAGGCGGAGCTGATGACTGGGAAGCGGATCCGTGCAGCAGAGCAGAACCACTGGAGGAGCTGAATGGAGACATCAGACACGAGGCAGATAAACTGAATGGCTCAGGCAGTGGAGGATGGATAGGGAGGCTGGGAAGGACCATCAACAACAAAGGAGACTTGGAGCTGGGCAACAAAGACTTGGAACTGGGCTTAACCAGCGACGACAGATTGAGAAAGTCCCTTGTGTGATCCTCGAGGGAGCGATCCCCCTGCTCCTCCTGGAGGAGGTAGACTGTGGGAATATCCATTTCATATCTCCTATGTAAATCTTGTCTCAGTCTTGTGCTCTGTCAGGGGTTGCTTGTAGTAAAATCCAATGGATGATTTGTGACGCAGAAAGAATCCTAATTTAACCTAACTTTAAAAGACACTAGGAGAGAGAACTCTACATGGGACTGAGAACGTCAACAGAACAGGAAACAGGTGCGGACTAATTAGGAACCATGAAAACAGATTAATGACCAGAATTTAAAACAGACAATGAAAACTATGACTAAAACTAAACAAGACAGAAACAGAACATTACTGAGACACAGCTAAAGCTTATTGGAATTTCTTCCCAAAACTGAAAACCTTCGCCCCCAAAAAAACTATTTTAATCAACATGTGCTATGCATTTTTATATTTCAGTATTTAATGTTTTTATGTAACTAGCACCACTTGTAGCACACTTCAAAACAATCCCTAATGAGTGTCATTAGGACAATCAAACCTAAAATAGACATGAGTTCAAACAAGTCAATGTTCAAAGTCAGCAGTGAATCACTAGACTGAATATTAATTCATGGTGTTGTTTCGTGGTGGTTTCCCTGCTGACGTCATGTGGTTTAATGAAAAATACATCATGCCTAGAGAAACACCCCAACGCCCTGCAGCACAAACACTCACTGTTTTCATCATAAAACAATCCTGCCATAGTTTCACTATGACTGTGTCACTTCAAATGCCATATTATGACATTAGCTGGCACGACATTTTGATTCAAGGCTTAAATCTCTTTTTGGAATAAAGGCAAATTCAGCTGCATCAAGATCAAACATCGGAACGGTTCAGGGATCCAACTCAACAGACAAGAACATGAACGCATATGAAAGCTCAATAACCAGAGCTACATCAGAAAACAAACTGGCCTGACAGCTTTGTATTTGCCAAGATGTTCTGCGTGGTTTCTAGGGTGTTGTTAGAGTGCTCTTGGTTGCTAGGGCACATAAAGTAACCGTAATTACGAGATTGCAACCCGTGACGTTCAATCCAGAGCTGCTCACGTCCTCAGACTCGGATTTATGCGTTTCTATATCAATACGATCAACGATGAAAATAACCTGCAGGAGTCAAGTAGTCTGTAAGTTGTTTACATTCATTATTATTGTAATGTTATGAGATATGAGGTAGTTTAACACCGTTTCTTGTGACTCTGCGGACTCTGCTGTGTATGTTTATGTGTTTTGAAGGAGGCGTGGCTTTAGAGACGCTCTAAACGGAGGGTGGAATCTCATGCTATCAAAGCTAACATGCTATAGCATCTCCACAATTGCCTACCCTACCTTTGCATTTCAATTAAAGCAACAAAACCATTTGATGACCATTATAAAGGATTCTAGATCTTTTAGCGTGAATGTGAGTATTTGCTGATTGGTAGCTTACTGGACCAAATCCACAACCAAACATACCAAACTTTTGAATGATCCCGTACCCAATCAGAAATGTTACTTGAGCATCAAATCATCATATTAAAATGATTTCTGAAGGATCATTTTTTATGCTTATATTGTTTCTGAAATTTTCTGCTGTATTTATCATATTGCTACTGTATTTAATAAATGTATAGTGTACTTTTATTGACTTTTGTATTTTAGGCAGCCTGCTAAGACCTGGCTAGGGACAACAGATGGAAACTAGCACTCATAGCTAACTCTGGCTTGTTTACAGCATTTAATTTGTTGTTGATTAATGAGCATTGTCCCTGTCAAATAAAAGAACAAACAAAGAACAAACAAACACTGAAGACTGAAGTAATGATGCTTTGACATCAAATATGTAATAAATTGTAATAATATTTCACAATATCACTGTCTTTAGTATTTTTCTCATCAAATCACTGCAGCCTTGGTGACCAAAAGAGACCTCTGTCAAAAACAATTAAAAAAAAAACTTAATTATTTCACACTTTAGTGTTCTACTCAATTCTCAATTTCTACTCATTCTGGTATAAGGATTATTAGGAACACATGTTCAATTTCTCATTAATGCAATGGGCTACAACAGCACAAGACCCCACCGGGTACCACTCATCTCCACTACAAATAGGAAAAAGAGGCGACAATTTGCAAGATCTCACCAAAATTGGACAGTTGAAGACTGGAAAAATGTTGCCTGGTCTGATGAGTCTCGATTTCTGTTGAGACATTCAGATGGTAGAGTCAGAATTTGGCGTAAACAGAATGAGAACATGGATCCATCATGCCTTGTTACCACTGTGCAGGCTGGTGGTGGTGGTGTAATGGTGTGGGGGATGTGTTCTTGGCACACTTTAGGCCCCTTAGTGCCAATTGGGCATCGTTTAAATGCCACGGCCTACCTGAGCATTGTTTCTGACCATGTCCATCCCTTTATGGCCACCATGTCCCCTCTGATGGCTTCTTCCAGCAGGATAATGCACCATGTCACAAAGCTCGAATCATTTCAAATTGGTTTCTTGAACATGACAATGAGTTGACTGTACTAAAATGGCCCCCACAGTCACCAGATCTCAACCCAATAGAGCATCTTTGGGATGTGGTGGAACGTGAGCTTCGCTCCCTGGATGTGCATCCCACAAATCTCCATCAACTGCAAGATGCTATCCTATCAATATGGGCCAACATTTCTAAAGAATGCTTTCAGCACCTTGTTGAATCAATGCCTCGTTAAATTAAGGCAGTTCTGAAGGCGAAAGGGGGTCAAACACAGTATTAGTATGGTGTTCCTAATTATCCTTTAGGTGAGTGTATATCAGTGTTTTAAATGGTTTAACATGTCTCAAATTTTTTCCTTCAAGAGGGTTAAGACTAACCAGATTTAATTCGTTACGAAATCCTATATTTTGTTTGCGATTTGTATTTATGTTCAACAGTCATCCTGCCTAGCAGTGTCCATACGGCGGTGTGCTGGCGAGTTCACTGTGACTGCCACAGTGAGATCTCCCACAGCTTTGACTACTGTTACCCAGCAGGACCCCAGCGTTAGCAGAAGAGCTGAGAGATCACACCAGACGCTGCTCTGAATGAACCACCCAACCACTGTCAAAACACACCAGCTGGATGGACTCTCATCAACTCCTCAGTGTGAACACACAGCATTGTGGGGCTGCAGAAAGAGCAAAAATACCCTGAATATTCTAGTTGTTGTTTTCTGGAGAGAACCATCTCTTAAAATATAAACACACCACTAATATCCATGGATCATCTCCACGATGAGGGAACCGTGCAAAAAAACCAAACACCAATCATTAAAAAAAAACTCAAATCATGTAACTTTTGCCTCAGGTTAGCCTTTTCTGATTCGTTTCTGATCCAAGCAATACCTAGAGACACTATATCTACAATATCTACACACACATATCATAAAATTTGATGTTAGATCCAACTAATCGGGATTAATCGATTTGACAGCACCAATACAGTCAAACCAAAAGTTATTTAGACACCAGATATTTTTTCTAGTGTGCAGGACACTATAGTTCATGTAGTGAGGAGAGCAAAATAAAGTAAACTATGACATATTATACCCAATAACTCTTCATAAAGTGACTACTAACATTTATACAAATTTGGGAGCAATAATTATTCAGACACTTTGAGCTGATCATATTTTGCAGAAGTGTGTTTTCTTTAATTGCTAATGCTCTTTTTCCACACAGACTGAACAACATTAAGCATTGCTTGGTAATCGGTTGATCTAAACTGGTAATATCTAATTGTGTAGTTAAATTTAACAGCTGACAGATATTCAACATAATTCAAGTGTGAGAGTCTAACAGAAGGACGGACAAAACAAGTCAAATATCCACTGATAACTCTGAGTTCTGCTCTACCATTTTCTAAACTATAGTGAATAACTGTGATAATGTGAGAAATGCTGAAGGAGTCTGAATACATGTTGGTTTTTTAACCCATCACCCAAAAGCTCAACATATCCTGCTGTATTAAAGTACAAACTGAGGGTGATACTCGAAAAGCTGGAGCTTGGGGAATATGGTGTTGAGTAAATTAAATCAATACTCATATCAGCTCACAGTCTCTCTGGACAAACAGTCTGGAAGGCTGACTATAGGTCATCCCACGCCGTCTGAAATCTGCACCTACACCATTGAAGTTTCTCATTTAATGGGAAAAACAGAGCATTGTTTAAAGCTGATCCTGTTTAAAGTTGACTTCTGTGTGAATGTGTGAGTGTGCAGCTCTCAAAACATCCATTTAGTTTAATGTCTATTACAAATAAGTTATCTGAAAGAAACACTTTATTAGGCCTTAAAATGAAAATAAATGTATCTTAAAGATGGTATTGTGCAGAATCATTATTAAGAGGGATTTTTGGATAGTCATTAAACATAAACGGAATATTAATGATTTTTAGATTTGTGGTTTTAATGGCTAAGTAAATGTACATAAATATTAAATGAAAAGCTCTTCGTTCTTAATGATACAACACATCTGTGTCTAAAGCCATATTGACCCATGATCAAGTGTACACATATATCCACACATTTGTAAACCCGAATGGTCTTACCTTGATTGTCTTCGTCCATATCTGCAGATTAATGTAAAATATTGAAATGGTGTGATGAGAACGCGCTCCACACACAGATGTGTTCCTTATAATGAAGGGTTTATCTGCTGCATTTACAATAAAGGTACTGTTTTGTGTGGAATATACGACATCAACTGTTGTTATTTATCTCAGTCCTCGTTTAAAATCCGTAACCCGGTGTGTTTATGAACAGAGGAAGGGTGTTCAGCTCGCGTGGATCAATAACATCCAGCGGAATAAGCGCTTCACACACACGAGCATCTGCGTTACACAGCGACCGACATACGTCATCACACTCGCCCTGCCCCATACACGCGAATTTACCAATCCTACTACGACGAAGGCTTACCGTATGAATATTAATTATGTAATGCTGACGTTGCTTAGTAACCATTCTAAAGCTTTACTGGCAAGATTGTTTGCATATAATATTGACCAAAACATAACGACACACACAAAGCAGCGATAAAAAATGGTGATGCCAGTAGCCTACTTGTGACAAAATTAATAATAATATATTAAAACAAGAACTGAGTTGTCTGTACTTGCACAATCCTGCACAAAGCGTCTTCCTTTTAGCCAATCAGCACAAACATCACATAGCGTAATTAATATTCATAAGCTAAGCCATCACTTTAGTAGTAATCATCACAACATTTATTTTTTGTTGTTGTATTGTAGCCCTAATACTGAGGCAGAACTGAAATGATACTGGATTATATATGGACTCTATATATTTAACATAAGATAATTATACAAGTATACACATGCTATTACACATGATGTATTATGAAGAGGAAAAAAAAGGGCCCTCTCATAAGAATAAATAAAAAATAATACAACTTTTAATAATCACAAAATAATCTATTATAGACACACTCCTGAATATGAGGTTTTAAAATTTGTGTACATTTTAATTTTGGGATTACAGTAGAATACAGGTGACCTCAAAGCTAACAAAGACAAAACAACTTCACGCCCTCTAAAGTAAAAGAGCCTGATCGGAGCTGGTTAGAAGCTCCGGTTGCTATGGAAACAGTGAAGCGCGTTTATTGCCGCACATGCGCATTGCCTGTTACACCCTGAATTATTTTTTATTTATTTTTTTGTCAGGATTTGAGCGTTTAGAAACAAAATTGATTAAGACAATTTTGAAAGTTAATAGTAAGCTTGGTGAATTTTGATGTTCCCCATTTAAAGAGACAGGAGCTGTATTGAGAATGAGGAGTTGACGTCATTTTACAGTGCCCCTCCCCTTTCCGCCATGTTGGTAGGATTCCCACGACAAAACAGTATTGATTACGTGTGTTTTTAGCTCGGTAGTAGAGGAGTTTCTCGCAATACCGCACTGTTTTACCATGCCTGGAAGTAACTGCTGCGTTAAAAAACGATAAAAACCCTGGTAACCGATAAATCAACCGTTTGTAACTCCGCCCCTTTTCAGAGCTTACGTATTTATGAATGAACCGCTCATTTTAAAATCTTCCCTGCAATTCTACTGACAATTGTTCTGACATCCTCTTCAAACATTACAATGCTCATGATAACTTTAGTAAACTCTACAATTAGTAAATCCACTTCAGATACTCTACGACAGCGATGCCATAGAAATGGGGTAGAAATTCAGACTGAATGCAATGATTGAATGAACACTGATTGGTCCTAAGTCTCCCACAGAATAATATGTACATTTTCATATCTAGAGCACTTCTGTTATTGATTGTTATCAAGATGTGAAGAGAGTTTCAACCAGAATAACAAAAAGTGATTATAAAATAAAATTGCCAATCTTTAAAGGGACTTTGACTAAAAGCCACAATAAACAAAAAAAATTAAAAAAAGTAACATCAATAAAAAATAATGTATTTCAGTGCAGCTATATTATAGGCTACACTCTAAAACAAATATGGGTTGTTTTAACCCAATTTTGGGTTAAATATATGGACAAACCCAAACGTTGGGTTAAAAATGGAATTTAAAAATGGAACCCAATGGCTGGGTTTTTCCACATTTGATTCAAAAATGGGTTAAAACAATCCAGCATTTTTTAGAGTGTACTGACCTGACCTAACTGACTTAAAGCAAGTGTGTGTGGATGTGATTAAAGCTTCATCAATTCAGCTGAGAGAAGGACTAATATCTCACGTAACGTGTGATGAAAGTGTGTGAAGGGGCGATCAACGTTCACACACACACACACACACACTACGCCTGCATGTTTCTCACACACATGGACTCAATTACGGCACGTCGGCCTCTCAGACCAAACGAGCTGCTCTCTTTATACACACATTACACAACTCCTCAAGAATGAAGTCCGCTGTTTATTCCTCCGTCTCGCGGAGTTTTCTTCTCCAACGGACACAACACACACTGCCGATACACACGTGAATCGATATGCACACACAGCTCAAACACACAGATTACATTTTAACCCTCAACCATAGTGATGGATCAATGTTTATTTTCCTGAAACAGCTCTTACAAACACACACTGTACTCAATATAAGTCTAGACTGACTGCAGGCTCCTTCCAGATGTTGAGTTTAACACTGAGCGGTTTCTGACTCTTCAGTCTCAAGAGTGTGAACACATGTGTGTTGGTGGACAGAGTGGGAGTTATAATGAATGTGTTTTAGTGTGTGTGTGTGTTTGCGCACATGTGTGCGTGTGTGTGTGTGTTTACGCGCTTGCGTGTGTGCGCATGCATGTGTATATATCTGAGTGTGTGCATGCATGCATGCATGTGTGTGGGGGGATGTGTGTGTGTGTGTGTGTGCGCGCATGCATGCATGTGTGTGTGAGGACTTGAGGGAGCCTCAGGTTTTGGGGGAGTATTTCCTGTTCTGGGAGCAGATGTGTAACACAGTCCAGGAAACACTCTGTTTTCCCAGTTTTCCTGGGCTGGGAGACACACACACTGAGAGACGAGCACAATCTCTGTTCTGAATATATCAAAGCTGCAGACTGAAAATAGGTCATATGCATAATCTTTGCTGCACAAATATGGTCAGAAGCGCAGATCCCGAACATCCGTGTGTTTCCCCTGTGTGTGTGTGTGTGTGAGGGTTTTGAGTGATGCGTGACGGATCTCAGCATATTAACTGCATTGGATCCTCAATGCATGAGCTCAGTTTGATCGACACATATACAATGACAGTCAAAAGTTTTGAGATTTTTAATGTTTTTAAAAGAAGTTTCTTCTGCTCACCAAGGCTGCATTTATTTGATTTAAAAAAATGTAATCTTGTGAAATGTTATGACAACTTAAAACAGCTGTTTTCTATGTGAATATATAGTAAAGTGGAATTTATTCCTGTGATCAAAGCTAAATTTTCCTCATCATTACTCCAGTCTTCAGTGTCACATGCCTTCAGAAATCATGCTAATATGATGATTTGATGCTTAAGAAACATTAATTTTTATTATCAATGCTAATGCTATTTATTAGCATGCTCTCCCCATGCTATCAACCCAATACTTGGACTATCTTCATCACCCTTGCCATCGTATGCCTTCTTCATCCAGGATTCCTTGTCTGACTCCTGTTCCATCTGAGACAGAAGACCAGACCTAAAATGCAGAATCCAGCAGGGCCTGTGGGGAATCCACCACGCAATCTATTCGCAACACTCGTTCAGGCTGTTCGCCAGTCTCTACTCCCTTCGCCACCAGCTAAACCACCCACCGTTCCAGAAGATATCCTACACATTGGCTGCTTACACTCGGAGGAGATCTCATTTATGGTGCTGGAGCAGTCCACTGCTGAGCTCATCTTGGGATGCCCTTGGATGGTCCAACACCAACCCACCTTCGACTGGAAATCCGGGGAGGTCCTTCGTTGGGGTGAAGACTGTTTCCATTCATGTCTGTCTTCGTTTAAGAAGATCCAAAAAATTCCCTCCTTTGCTTCTCCATCTTCAGAGGGAAAGTCAGAGTTTCCAATTTGTTCCACTTCCATTGAGAGCCCTGAGGTCCAACACCAGGTGGAGATTCCCGCTGAGTACAGGATGTGTTTAGCAAGCAGTTGGTGATCAAACTACCTCCTCATCGGCCATGGGACTGCACCAACGACCAGCTACCTGGAGCCACTCTATCTAAAGGCTGTATTTACCCACTGTCCATCCCGAAGCAGAAGGTCATGGAGGAGTATGTGGAGGAAGCCCTTAAACAAGAGTACATTCATCCACCTTCTGCTTCCAGCTTCTTTTTCGTGGCTAAAAGGATGGAGACTTGAAGCCGTGCATTGGTTATTGTCATCTCAACTGTCAAACTGTGAATCCCCTTCCTCTGGTCCCAGCAGCACTGGATCAGCTGCATGGAGCCCGCATCTTTTCTAAACTAGATTTACGCAGTGCATATAACTTGATCCGAATTTGTCAGGGTGATGAATGGAAGACATCCAGCCATTATGAGTCATGCCCTTCAGACTATCCAGCGCTCCACCAGTCTTCCAAGAGTACATGAATGAGGTCTTCTGGGAATATCTTAACAGATTTGTGGTTATCTACATTGATGGTATTCTTATCTACTCCCCGTCTCTCTCTGAGCAACAGTGCCACGTCTATCTTGTCCCTGGAGAAGCTGAGAGCTCATAAACTGTACCTAAAACTGGAGAAATGTGAGTTTCACACCACCACTGTTCAATTTCTGGGTTCAATCATTGACCAACAAGGAGTTCAGATGGACCAGAGGATGGTGGAACTGGCCCCAGTCCTCTACTGTGAAGGATCTTCAGAGATTCATCAATAACTACAATCACATTAGTTCTCCTCTGACCTCATCTCTAAAGGGCCAGCCCACGTCTGTCCTCATCTCCTGAAGCCATCTTAGCATTTCAGCAACTCAAAGAAGCCTTCCTGACCGCTCCAATCTTGGTTCATCCAAACCCTGAGATTCCCTTTGTCGTTGAGGGGGATGCATCCTCAACAGGAGTTGGAGCGGTTCTCTCCCATCACCAGGGTGATCCTCCAAAACTCCATCCATGCGCTTCTACTCTAAGAAGTTATTCCCGGCGGAGCAGAACTATGATATCAGGAATAGGGAAAAGCTTGCCATCGAGCTGGCTTTAGAGGAGTGGAGGCATTGGCTGGAGGGAGCTAATCACCAGTTCGAGGTAATAACCGAACATCGCAACCTGGAATACCTCAGAGAGGCGAAAAGGCTAAATCCTCGTCAGGCTCGATGGGCTCCCTTCTTTACCTGGTTTGATTTCATTGTGTCATACCGACCTGAAAGTAAGAATTGTAAAGCGGATGGTCTCTCCCA